ATCCTCATACACTATTTGTTGTCTAATAAAAGCTTCCTACCTCTAGGGTTATGTCTTCTCTGCGTCTTTTCTTTCGACTGCTTCCAGGCAACCGTTCACGAAAACCTTGCCTTCGCAAACTGCAAGTGACCATCGCTACATCACGCGCACCCTTACCAGCAAAACTGCTGCCTCAGACCCATCTTGCTGTTTTAGACTAGAATGCTTAAACGACAACCATCATACTTGATTAATGAAACAGGGCCACAGTATCAGCGGCAACGGTACTGTCAAGCTTCCTAATTAGTAGTGTGATCTTAGCCAGAGTGTAAGAATAAGTGCCTTAGCCAAAGCCTTAACGTTTTCACTCCAGCCCCATTCATGCATAACATTTAAACTGCACTGGCAGGTGCTCGAAGAGCGATCGACCGTTTTCACAGCAGAATACGCAGGGTAGCAGCAGATGGCAACAGGGTGTCTAAGAAAATAGATGCATGCTGTAGAAAGCCATGCTATTCGGAGTAGGCAGTCAGATCAAGTTCTCGAGCCCCGCAAGCATAAATCCAAAGCATTTCTTTTGGCCAGGTTACAGTGGGGTGCTGCAAAGTGGTACAGCAGAGTTGTGCTCAAGGCCAACTAATAAGGTGGCCAAGGCTGGTTTATGGAGTTTAACATCCCAAGAGGCTGACTAAGACCGAGGTCATTCAGCATGCAGAGACACGGCCTATGACATATCACGTACACCGAAATTTAACTGCAGTGGCTAGGATCAAATCCACGTCTTAGTTCAGGTGCACCGTAACCACTCAGCCATGTCAGAAAAGGCGTGCTCCCTTCGTAATTGTACTGTGGCTATGTGCCTCGGAAGTCTTGAGTGCTTGCGCTGGGCGCCGGCTATTCGTATGCACTTTTCTCTTCTTTGGGTAGGGACGATTCTGTAGCAGCGATTTCCTTGTCCTAGTTACTGTATTGCTCCCTACGATAAAGGTAGCACTACATTAACTCTACGCTGTCCTAAACTGCAGCGCTTGACGGTCCTTGTTAGGGCAGTTGGCACCAGCGTTGGCCAGAGGTCACATGATCTTTTTGCATATCTGGCTACAACATTTTAGTGTTGAAACTATGATGCTGAAGATTGCAATTGTGTCCCGCAGTGTCATCGGCGAAGAGTCAAACACATCATCTACTCGGCTGTTGATATGCAACTTCTGCATGGGGCAGTCTTTCGCAATGGCACTAGCACTTGGCTACTGGAAGTAGCGTAGCCATGTGTTAACTGAAAATACTCTTCATAAAACCTCAAATTGCTAATTAATAAAGTCTTGTCACAAAAACAGAGCAATCACTCGACTTACTGCAATCGCCAACTCGTGCCCTCATCGGCATGGTTTACGGCGAATTATTAAATAGTGGCCACCAGTATGCAAAATATATAACACACAGGACTGACAACGCATCACTGTGTCAGACATCCAAGCAACAAAAGCGTGCAGCCGGGAGGCCCGAGGCCATCATGAGACTAGCAAGTGACTCAGCATGACAGTGCAGCAGAGGAAAAAGGCAGCAGTGCTATAAGCGAAGACATTGGGGACTTTATTGGTAATTATATATATATACACGGGATGACAGGGCCTCTACGTGCACCAGCGCTCACTGCCACGTCACTTGCTTAAGGGTGGCCATGCACAAAACGGGGACAGTCAGCCGAGGCAGCCAGTGCTGGTGCACCGCAGATGCATAGCAGGTTCCTCTCTCGCACGCGCTCGTATGGCATCCAAGAAATCGTCCACGCAATCAACGACGTCATCCATTGTACAGTCATTGAAGTACAAATTGATCATTTCCACAAAAACTTTCTCACTCTCAATCTGTTGCAGCAACGGCTGAATACAGAACATCTATGACAACCGAGTGAAAATTACAAAAAGAAAAGGTAGGGAGGAAGAGGGGGGACCACCCAAGCGAGGAGCCTTCAAATATTTTGTGCAGGCACGCACCAAAATGTAAAGATTGCTTGGGCTAAGCCGCAGTTAGGGACCAGTGACAGCAGCACGCTTTCACAATAAAACACCCGGCAATTTTTAAATCACTTCAAGGCTAACTTACCAAGAGGAGAGCAGCTTAAAATACCGCCCTACATCCACAAACACGTTAAGGTTAAATTTGGTGCCCCACGCTCACCTTCCCTTTTCAAAGATACCAAAACAAAGAAAATCTGAACGCAATACTCTGAAATCTAGCCAGTACAGAGTAGTGTAAACAGCACAACTTTATCTCAACAGAAGTGCACCTGCGTTAAATAAACAAGTGTCCTCTTTATTCTCACAGCATACAGCAGCATTGGGAATGGCAGAAAAAAAAAGCCAAGATTGGTCTTTGAAAGAAAGTTATCTTGTACCTTTCACTAGAAGATCTGACAGTTCCCTCCAAGCAGTAACCGAAGGGACACACTGAGCAGATGACTCGAATGCACCAGTATGTTCGGCCCGCTGTAGCACAGTTCACGAGCAATGCTGCTGCAGTTCAACACCGAGGATGTCTAAACAAGAGCAACACTGGTGCTAAATGTAGCAATGCCACAAAAGTAAGCCATTCCATGGTTAAAAAAAAAAAAGTAGGTACGGGGAGGAGCAGTAGCTGGGGAGGTCATCTGAACAAGAAAGAAAAAAAAGGGTCTACTAATAGGGCACTGTTCAAAAAATAGTAGGGGCAGTTTTTTTTTTTTTTCGTTTTGGAAAGAACAGAAGTGGAGAAAGAAAAAGGCCACAGTGCAGGAGTGCTCTTGTGCCCTCCTCGCTTCTTTTTTTCTCTTGTCCCTCCTACTTTACAGGGGCCCTGCACAGCCAAGTGTTGTATCCGGCAACCAGCACGCTACTGCTGGCAGGCACACGACTTCTTGCGGTTGTCCGTTGGGTCCGTGGGGGCAATTGTGATGGGGATGTTGTCTCGAGACGGAGACGGATCATTGTCCCCTTCACTCCGTATCTGCTTTTGTGACACGATGTGGTAGATGTCTGCACAAAAAATGAGGTAGCAGAGTGTGCCTTGAGAACTCATATGCATGTCACATGGGCGTTTGAACTATCTTCACACCAGTAAGTCAACAGACTCTGTGATCAATAGATTATCAGTACAGTTACCAAGCTGCTAAAAAAGATGTTTCGAAAATCAACTAGCCAGCAGTCTATTCAGTCAAGGAAGCACTCCACAACTCTACAGAAACTGGAGCAGTGCACGCATAACCTTTTGCTTACATTGTGCCCATAGTCATGATTTGAGCAAAGGAATCTAATGAGTATGCTTTAAAATTAGGCAGTGTAGCGTTGTGAATAACATGAAGTATTCTTGCGTTTTGAAATATGCAAATCTTCTCTACTTGACAAAAGCAACGTGCTTGTCTTCATTGTACTATCTTGCCATGTATTGCTCGCCAGTTTCACTGCTCAACAATGTAAGAACTAAAAATTTATTGAGCAATTTATTACGCAACTATGAACAATTCATTACACAGACATATTTTAATGTAATCACAGTGTACAGACGGGTCCACTGTTAAAGAGAACACCTGTGTGAGCAGCATGTTAGATTTCGCTATCTTACGGAATCATAGCGGCATAGATATGCATAAGACTGCTGCCTCAGACCCATCTTGCTGTTTTAGACTAGAATGCTTAAACGACAACCATCATACTTGATTAATGAAACAGGGCCACAGTATCAGCGGCAACGGTACTGTCAAGCTTCCTAATTAGTAGTGTGATCTTAGCCAGAGTGTAAGAATAAGTGCCTTAGCCAAAGCCTTAACGTTTTCACTCCAGCCCCATTCATGCATAACATTTAAACTGCACTGGCAGGTGCTCGAAGAGCGATCGACCGTTTTCACAGCAGAATACGCAGGGTAGCAGCAGATGGCAACAGGGTGTCTAAGAAAATAGATGCATGCTGTAGAAAGCCATGCTATTCGGAGTAGGCAGTCAGATCAAGTTCTCGAGCCCCGCAAGCATAAATCCAAAGCATTTCTTTTGGCCAGGTTACAGTGGGGTGCTGCAAAGTGGTACAGCAGAGTTGTGCTCAAGGCCAACTAATAAGGTGGCCAAGGCTGGTTTATGGAGTTTAACATCCCAAGAGGCTGACTAAGACCGAGGTCATTCAGCATGCAGAGACACTGCCTATGACATATCTCGTACACCGAAATTTAAACGCAGTGGCTAGGATCAAATCCGTGTCTTTTAGTTCAGGTGCACCGTAACCACTCAGCCATGTCAGAAAAGGCGTGCTCCCTTCGTAAATTGTACTGTGGCTATGTGCCTCGGAAGTCTTGAGTGCTTGCGCTGGGCGCCGGCTATTCGTATGCACTTTTCTCTTCTTTGGGTAGGGACGATTCTGTAGCAGCGATTTCCTTGTCCTAGTTACTGTATTGCTCCCTACGATAAAGGTAGCACTACATTAACTCTACGCTGTCCTAAACTGCAGCGCTTGACGGTCCTTGTTAGGGCAGTTGGCACCAGCGTTGGCCAGAGGTCACATGATCTTTTTGCATATCTGGCTAACAACATTTTAGTGTTGAAACTATGATGCTGAAGATTGCAATTGGGTCCCTGCAGTGTCATCGGCGAAGAGTCAAACACATCATCTACTCGGCTGTTTGATATGCAACTTCTGCATGGGGCAGTCTTTCGCAATGGCACTAGCACTTGGCTACTGGAAGTAGCGTAGCCATGTGTTAACTGAAAATACTCTTCATAAAACCTCAAATTGCTAATTAATAAAGTCTTGTCACAAAAACAGAGCAATCACTCGACTTACTGCAATCGCCAACTCGTGCCCTCATCGGCATGGTTTACGGCGAATTATTAAATAGTGGCCACCAGTATGCAAAATATATAACACACAGGACTGACAACGCATCTCTGTGTCAGACATCCAAGCAACAAAAGCGTGCAGCCGGGAGGCCCGCGGCCATCATGAGACTAGCAAGTGACTCAGCATGACAGTGCCGCAGAGGAAAAAGGCAGCAGTGCTATAAGCGAAGACATTGGGGACTTTATTGGTAATTATATATATATACACGGGATGACAGGGCCTCTACGTGCACCAGCGCTCACTGCCACGTCACTTGCTTAAGGGGCGACATGCACAAAACGGGGACAGTCAGCCGAGGCAGCCAGTGCTGGTGCACCGCAGATGCATAGCAGGTTCCTCTCTCGCACGCGCTCGTATGGCATCCAAGAAATCGTCCACGCAATCAACGACGTCATCCATTGTACAGTCATTGAAGTACAAATTGATCATTTCCACAAAAACTTTCTCACTCTCAATCTGTTGCAGCAACGGCTGAATACAGAACATCTATGACAACCGAGTGAAAATTACAAAAAGAAAAGGTAGGGAGGAAGAGGGGGGACCACCCAAGCGAGGAGCCTCCAGCAAATATTTTGTGCAAGCAAGCACCAAAATGGAAAGATTGCTTGGGCTAAGCCGCAGTTAGGGACCAGTGACAGCAGCACGCTTTCACAATAAAACACCCGGCAATTTTTAAATCACTTCAAGGCTAACTTACCAAGAGGAGAGCAGCTTAAGGTACCGCCCTACATCCACAAACACGTTAAGGTTAAATTTGGTGCCCCACGCTCACCTTCCCTTCTCAAAGATACCAAAACAAAGAAAATCTGAACGCAATACTCTGAAATCTAGCCAGTACAGAGTAGTGTAAACAGCACAACTTTATCTCAACAGAAGTGCACCTGCGTTAAATAAACAAGTGTCCTCTTTATTCTCACAGCATACAGCAGCATTGGGAATGGCAGAAAAAAAAAAAAAGCCAAGATTGGTCTTTGAAAGAAAGAAGTTAGCTTGTACCTTTCACTAGAAGATCTGACAGTTCCCTCCAAGCAGTAACCGAAGGGACACACTGAGCAGATGACTCGAATGCACCAGTATGTTCGGCCCGCTGTAACACAGTTCACGAGCAATGCCGCTTCAGTTCAACACCGAGGATGTCTAAACAAGAGCAACACTGGTGCTAAATGTAGCAATGCCACAAAAGTAAGCCATTCCATGGTTTAAAAAAAAAAAAAAAAGTAGGTACGGGGAGAGGCAGCTGGGGAGGTCATCTGAACAAGAAAGAAAAAAAAGGGTCTACTAATAGGGCACTGTTCAAAAAATAGTAGGGGCAGTTGTTTCTTTTTTTTTTTTTTCGTTTTGGAAAGAACAGAAGTGGAGAAAGAAAAAGGCCACAGTGCAGGAGTGCTCTTGTGCCCTCCTCGCTTCTTTTTTTCTCTTGTCCCTCCTACTTTACAGGGGCCCTGCACAGCCAAGTGTTGTATCCGGCAACCAGCACGCTACTGCTGGCAGGCACACGACTTCTTGCGGTTGTCCGTTGGGTCCGTGGGGGCAATTGTGATGGGGATGTTGTCTCGAGACGGAGACGGATCATTGTCCCCTTCACTCCGTATCTGCTTTTGTGACACGATGTGGTAGATGTCTGCACAAAAAATGAGGTAGCAGAGTGTGCCTTGAGAACTCATATGCATGTCACATGGGCGTTTGGACGATCTTCACACCAGTAAGTCAACCGACTCGGTGATCAATAGATTATCGGTACAGTTACCAAGCTGCTAAAATAGATGTTTCGAAAATCAACTAGTCAGCAGTCTATTCAGTCAAGGAAGCACTCCACAACTCTACAGGAACTGGAGTAGTGCACGTATAACCTTTCGCTTACATTGTGCCCATAGTCATGATTTGAGCAAAGGAATCTAATGAGTATGCTTTAAAATTAGGCAGTGTAGCGTTGTGAATAACATGAAGTATTCTTGCCTTTTGAAATATGCAAATCTTCTCTACTTGACAACAGCAACGTGCTTGTCTTCATTGTACTATCTTGCCATGTATCGCTCGCCAGTTTCACTGCTCAACAATGTAAAAACTAAAAATTTATTGAGCAATTTATTACGTAACTATTAACAATTCATTACACAGACATATTTTAATGTAATCACAGTGTACAGACGGATCCACGGTTAAAGAGAACACCTGTGTGAGCAGCATGTTAGATTTTGCTATCTTACGGAATCATAGCGGCATAGATATGCATAAGACGATTGGTGGTTCAAAGTTCCGACTCCTGTTGAGAGACTATCGACTTGCATGAAGAATGTTAATCCACTTGCTCTTAGAGGGCCAGGAATATAGATGGTGTGCATTCAAGTGTTCCCTTTAACAGTGGACCATACTGTATATCACAGCAAGCATCCCCCGGTTATCTGCTCCACGCCACACGTGTGCCTGAGCACACGTGTGGCGTGGAGTCATTTTTGGCCTACTGCACACTTTTAGTAGGCGACTACCTGAATGCCCTGCCCTGGGCCACCGATCTCTGCCGTTTCGTTGTGCGGGACCATGTTCAAGCGCGCACCGCTTTACAGAAATGCAAGCAGCTCGCTGGCCCAGACTTTACCGTGGCGGGTCGCGGGCACCGAGAAACCTTGCTATATTATGCCAAAAGGTGCACTGTACAGCAAGCATAGCGCTGTTGTAACCATGCTGAAGGCTTTTTTATACAGCGACAGCCCAAATGCATGCATTCGTTCCTTGCCAGGACTGCTAGAGCATTGCTGAGAGCGCATTGTATGCGGAAAGCTCTTCATCGCCGCGTTAACCCAGCAGACTACCCACCACATCAGTCACGGTGTGTGCCGAATGAGCGAAGCGCTGCACACAATTAGCCGTGCAGAAAACAATTTGGCTATCTGTGACCGTACCGCATCAACGATTGAAAACCTGCCAGTTTTCACTTAGAAGCAGGTCGCAGAACAGCTGTATCACAGACAGCTGATTGTGTCCGTTCTGTCGCTGTACCACGCTGCGTATCTTGGACACCACAGTAGTTTCGAAACGCTCATCAGTGTCACCACTGCGTGCTATCGGGCGGCTGTGCTAGAGTCAGCAGCACTTCGGCACTTTCATAAAAAGAAAAATGGCTTTGCGATGGGCACTTTAGGAAAAATTTCCCTGGCAAAGTTTCTTCCTTTGTCGGCGGCGATGGCACATGTCGGAAGATGCAAATTTGTAGCTGGTAGTTAATGTGTAGTGCGTTTAGTGCGCAGTCATGCTGTCGTCCCCGCCAGGTACGTACTAACAGGGTTTCAGTGTATAGTGTAGCACGTGGCCTGAAATTTACAATTTTCAAAGCACACAGCAAATCATTGCCTCTTAGTTCTACAAATGATTCCAAATACCCAAATGATCATAACAAAACTCAAATTTCAAATTGGCCGATTTGAACAATGTGAACTGCGCAAGCCATGTTTGGAAAAAAAAAAAAAGTGCTAAAGGTCACAATGTACACATAATGTATCTTTTCCCCATGCCATCCCTCCCTGCTAAGCATGCAGAGTGCTCATCAGGATTAGAGAAGAGAGAAAGTAATTGCAGTGTGAGAAAAACCTTGCAACTACGTTCGTACAGTCGAACCCAACTGCAACAAACGCCGTTTCAACGAAATTTCTGCTACAACAAAAATTTACGGTTCTCCGTCAGCAGTTCTAAGGAGTCAATGCATAAATATTGTCGCCGCAACGAACCCTTTTTCTTCTGCAGTCCCACTTCAACGAAATTTCATGATGCGATTCCAGGCTCAGATATTTATTGCTATACAAGAAACTCAATCTAACACTTTGATGCATTTTCAGAACCTGAAAATATGTCACCGAAGTCTAATGTTGAATTCCAATAGCAGATCGCGAGTGCTGGGCCGGATTGCGAATGAAGCACGCAGATCTGAGTGGGATTGCTCTTACCAAATCTGCAATCGGAACGCGCGTCTCGACGGGAGCTGTTGGCGAGCGGAAATCTAGCGAGGGAGCACAAGAGGGTGCGAGAGTGCAAAGAGTTTTCTGGACATCCATCGATGATTGGACGAAAGGCGGGCGCACTGAATACGTCACTTGAATTTCCGGTCAAATCGGCCAATTTCGGCAGAGCAAGAATTCTTGCTTTATGGAGCAATCCTTGATCTGTGGTTGCTCTCAATCTGCCATTGAAACCCACAATTCACGCTCCCAATCAGCCATTGGAATATGATTGCTCCGCTCAGAGCAAAAAAAACTGTCTGGATCTGCCATTAGAATTCACATAAAACACACGTCGGCACCACCAGAAACCACCGCTGTTCAGCAAGCATGGGTGCCACCATTGCTCGATAGCGATGGCAATGAGACTGCCCTGCTTTTGCCACTGGCTTGCTTTCGAATCGCCGATGATCCGAAGCTGAAGCTAAGTTCATGGTTTCCTTCACGCAGCTGCTGGGTGCAACCGTAAGCGTTGCCTTTTCCGACTCTAATGCTTATTTTATTCGCGCTTGGCCAGAGCGGCTGTTCGTCTGCATCATCAACCAAATCCGCTAGCCGTGAGTGATGGATGATAAGAATGGCATAGAATAAGGCAAAAGTCACCGCTCCACGATACCCTGCCTCCATCTCGGCGTTGTCGAATACACTTTGACAGCAGACAGCTGCTGGTGTTGAGTGATATGGTGGGTTTAACGTCCCAAAACCACTATATGCATATGAGAGACGCCGTAGTGGAGGGCTCCGAAAATTTTGACCACCTGGGGTTCTTTAACGTGCACCCAAATCTGAGCACACAGGCGTTTAACATTTCCGCCTCTATTGGAAACGCAGCCGCCGAGTACCTTAGCCACTAGACCACCACAGCGGGGCAGCTGCTGGTGTTAAGTGACTGACAACTGCCCGGAACATGAAAATGAGATGACTGCACAGATGGAAAGATTGTCCCTTATAGCAACTCAAACCAACTGTTTTTCTAGTGAGAAGTGGATTTTTGTTTTTATTTCTTCATTGAAAGTCGCAAAAAATGGCCGGTGGTGCATCTGGTGGCAAAAACAAACTATCATGAATGCCCTGTCATGTGACTATGTGTTAATGTACACGGTCAACAATTTCTTGATTAGTACTGAAATATTGATTGATTCTTTATAGCAAAAGATAATGTTTTCTAAAAGTATAAGCTTGTGTTAGTGGTTTGCATTAAAGTGGTGTTGCCTTTGTGTGACATATGTGCAGTTCCGTTTTCGATTACTTGGCTTGGTGACGTGGTACAAATGTAAGGAAGCTCTATAGAGCCGCACTGTCTCATTGTAACGGCTTGTTTTGAAAAATGGTTGTAAAGCACAAAATGAACGTGGTTAAGCATAGTTTCAGGAAATACTGCGAAATAAGAAGGACAGCATGCATAGGCCACCGGAAAGGCTACCGGCATCGCTATCAATACTCAGCGTTGCCGGATGGAAAGGCACTGTCGTGGTCAGAGCCTTTCAGATCGAAAAATACTGCTTATAAGATGACTACGAGCTATTGGGACTACTGCAGCTACTATCACTACTAAAGATGAGCTTTCTGTCGCGCAGGAAAAAACTGGATCAAAAAAAGTCAGTTGTCGGTCCCTTTATCGTGTTAATGCAACTGTTTGGTATGTCCATGAAAACGAGGGGTTGTTTTAGTGTGGTTTTCACCATGACCTCGCAATGCACGGCTGAATCGCGTCCTGATGCTGCTGGGAAAGAATAGAAAGCAGTGGACACTTTTTAAATTTTAAGAATACCGTATTTACTCACATAATCGGCGCACTCGCATAATAGGCGCACCCCTAGTTTGGTCGCGGAAAATTCGATTTTTTTTTAATTCCGCGCATAATAGGCGCACCCCGAACTTGGCCGTGATCAGAAACGATTCTACCCCCCAGCGGTACAGTTGGAACGCGGTCCCCGTACCCTGAAGAAAAAAAGAAGGCAAATCGACGAGCAAATAAAAAAAATTCGAAGTGCAACGACCAAACCAACGTGTTTGTCGAAATAAAACTTGAAAAAAAAAAGCGTCCATGAGCGAAAAAAAAAAAAGAACGGCTGTTCCATCAATTACCGATACCCCCCAAATCGCCGCGCTTTTTGGAGGTCACGTGTACAACGCCGGGGGCTCAATCGCCATCACCACCATCAGAGAAAAAGAAAGAAACGCCATTTTGCAAGCGGTGTGCGTATGTTGTGGTCGTGTATTGAACTTTGGTTCCACCATGGGGAAGTAGGCGAGCTACACGGCTGGGTTTAAACTGAAGGCAGTGCAGTACGCGCTGGAGCACGGCAACTGGGCTGCAAGCAGGCGTTTCGGTGTTGGAGAAACCAGTATTCGGTACTGGAGGGACCAAGAAGAAAAACTTAAGGCGACGAAGAAGACACGACGGGCTTTCCGCGGTGCCAAGACCGGCAGGTATCCGAACGTCGAAGAGCAACTGGTCCGGCATATACAGGAGCTACGACAAGACGGCTGTGCTGTGTCGTTGGATATTGTGCAGACTGAGGCGCGCAGAATAGCCCGAGCGCAGGGCATCGAAGCAAAAGAGTTCAAAGCCAGCTCCGGATGGACAACTCGTTGCAAGCGGCGCCATGGCCTCACACTGCGAAGGCGG